GGAGCATATGTTCAGTCTTAAAATGCCTAGCAAATTACGGACCAGGCAATAAGTCCAGCAGCTATCTCAATCAATCGTCAGCTATGGAAAGATCGGGTTCCAAAGGCCGGATCCCTTGGGAATCAAGTCACGAAAAGTTCAAGAATCGGCAACAGGCCATGGGCCTATTTCTTCAGCGCCAACACTTCTATTCTATTCTATAAATAGATATATTCCAATATATCCATAGATAGATTGACTTTGTTGACAATAGAACTGATCGTATAGCTCCCTGCATTTACAACAGCAGTTCTTGCCAACAGCTTGAACAGTTGTCGGTACCACTTTATGCGCCGTCTTGGTGCAGTATTGTATGACATTTGATATGATTTATTATTATTCATCAGCTTTATATACAAGAATTATTTGTAGCTTGAGTATCATTCACAGTAACATTCCCATTCCATTTGCTCAGAAAACTATGTTATTTCAGCGTCAATATTACGTAATGCATATTTCAATTGCAGTCTTATAATAAATGTTGTGGACCACTTACAGCGCACGAAGTCTAGAAAGATATCAGTAACCGTTCCAGAAGCCGTGTACCAATAGAAGCTCACGATTTTTTTTAATCTCGTACACTCACCGAGACAAGAACGGAGTACACTCACCGAGACAAGAACGCAGTACACTCACCGAGACAAGAACGCAGTACACTCACCGAGACAAGAACGGAGTACACTCACCGAGACAAGAACGCAGTACACTCACCGAGACAAGAACGGAGTACACTCACCGAGACAAGAACGTAGTACACTCACCGAGACAAGAACGTAGTACACTCACCGAGACAAGAACGGCGCACCATCTACCGTCTCGCTGTCATGTCTTTAACTAAAATTATTCAAGTTTGAATGAGTGGCATCCCAGCTAAACAGTTTAGTTTGGGAGTCGCAGTCAGAGTTGAAACGTCTAGATAAAATATTGACATTCATCAAATTTAATACCAATTTGTGCTTATTTGAATCTTCTGTTAAACCTGGATCTTGTTTCTAATTAATTTACCTATTTTTTGAGTTACTTCTTCAAACCTACGAGTAGATCTATTGAGTAACTTTTCAAGTGCTAATTCTAGCAATATATAACTGATAGCAAGAGATTCAATTAATAAATAATAGTAGATAAATCTATCTATGCTAATGTCAGCAAATGAATCTTCTTTCTTACCAATAACACTTACGATTTTTTTATAGGCGGCAGTGTTGTAATGAAAACAGTTTCAAACCGTTCCTTGCTTGGGCTCCACTTTTCTATGGGTAGACCATTGTGCTCGGCTAGTCCAAGAATATGTTCTAGATTGATCCAGATTTGTTCGAAACTGACGTTGCACGAACAGCAACACGCTTTTCTGCTTAGGCAGCACCTAAGGGCAAGATAAATTAAACTATCCTTCCAGCTTGCACCTGCTTCAGCAATCTAGGACGAAGTAAAAGACAAGTACTAACTAGCTTCAAAATTATTTCAGTTAAAATCGACAATAAGGGTAAGAATGATATTTGGCTGTGATGAATTTTATCATAAATTTTAGTATTGAATAATTAAGTAACTTTTACAGGAACTGACCACGTGCAATTCACGAAAAGTAATGTCAGCAGGTCGTCCTTGCCCACTTCACTCATGAAGATATTCTTCGTTATGGCAGTTATATACCTGAAGAGAAAAAATATTTTTGTTTGGACACATAAATCAAATCAATGACGAAGCGGATTAGAACTAAAATCCTTTTCAGACCACAACCACTGAATGAGTAATGCTTCAAGAATATTATGCCAGAAATCAACTTCCATCAGGTACCTGATGACAATTTTAGAATTTTCATTCAAATATCAGCATTTGTAGAAATTTCAAGCAAGACTGGAGTCTTTCATTATGTCGTTTTACCTATCAAATAAATGCCGCGCCTTAAAAGAAAGAAGTTATTATGAATTAATTCTAAATTCAGAATTCCTCAACAGAATTAATTGCCTCTATGCAAATACAGAAAATGCCAACAAGGAAACTTTGCATTAAGTAGATGCAGGATTAACATCTCTTACTTGTTCTTGTCTGCCCAGTTGATTCCATTGTCAAGTTGAAAGATACCGTCAATAATGAACTCAAATTCATGAGTCGTGTCAAACACGCAATGCTCCAGAATGTACATGGCGCTCTCGTGGTACGATACCGAGGCAGCATCAACCATAACAAGCGACCTAGGTACCAGAAATAGAACCAGTTATGGTGAATCATATCCAAAATCGCATTTAATTAATGAAAAATTTATTTCATTCAAAATATAGACTTTTTTCTTGCCAACCTAAAAACTTAAGGTAGTGAGTAATTTAATATATTCACATAAGCTGCATTTGTTAGATCTTTCGCAGCTATACTACTCACTCATTAATCTCAGGGTCAGACAATATGTATGGCAATATGGTCTTCAACTGGGCATCTGTTAGACTTTCACCAGTTATCCAATCATTGATATGAGAGCAGCCGGCTCCTCTACTCAGAAGTTTCATCAGTATTTCGAAATTATCCTGAAAATACAAAAATATTCCAAATAAAATGCTTAAGCTCAACTAAGCTCATGACAAAGTTGGCATTGTTTCCTTAGCATCTGAATAAAAATCACATACAAGTCTTAGACAAAACGATTTTAAGAAAATCCCAACAACAAAAAAATAGACAATTAATAAATTTGATATAGGAATAATGATCGTTTAGTTCTGTGAAAGATCAAACGCAAATGGGGAAGTAATAGCAACCTCATAGTACAAAATCTACAACACAGAATGAAATATTATTCACACTTATATATGGGAACACGAAAATTTTTTAATAATTGTGGACAGTTTATTTCACTGAATCAAAAGCTGCACTCACCAGAGCAAAGAATGTGGCTGAAAGATCAGCAGAATCTGTGGCTCTGGCGTCCGCGCCTGCGTCCAGTATTAGCTCAGCTCCTCGCCACCAGCTTCTCTCCAAGGCTGCAAAATTGGCATCTAATAGTGTGCTGTTTTCACAGTCGAGCTCCAAGTTGTGCTCTAATTCTTATTTGTCCTAAAAAAGCATAAGCCAAGACAAGTATAATTGAATGATTTTCCACAAAGTTTTAAGCACTGTTCAGGATATAGAAATAAGTCGCATCTGCAAGATGAGATTCATCTACCTAATTTTGTTTTCATTTATCTGACCATTAGGCAGATTTTAGCACTGTTCTCACCGCGCTAAAATCATAAACAATTTCGTATATAGATTGTATATAATATATTGAATATACTGATAAAATTTCCTTAATGCATTCCTAACTAAAACTGGAGCAATTATTAAGGTGACATACCACAAAATAACGGCAAATCATTTTTAGGCAGGTTGGGATTTGCCCCAGCATCTAGAAGGCTTGCCAATATTTCTTCCTGAACAAATAAAAATTTAGTGGAGTGAATTTAAGAAGGAGAATCAAGACAGAACGATAAGAAACAACTGTTCTTATACAGAAGAATAGAATTCAGCAACTTGAGAGCCAAATTAGGAATAAAAGAAAAATAAGCAGTTTTACATAAATTTTTGGACATCATAGAGATGCTGTAGTGACCTGAATAGTACCCTACAAGTGTGAACATTTTTATTCAGGCAGTACCAAAACAAACTTATTAAAATTCAGCAAATTTTTAATTCATACAATCACGTTCATGCACATGAAAATCATCTTCAGAGTTTGGTCTGTTTCACGTTTAGTTGTAGGCAGGCTGCATTAAAAGCATAGGAAACATTTCAAGACCCATCCTAGTCACCTCCAGTTCTGAGGCTGAGCAGTTTCTACAGAGAAGCAGCAGAGCAGTGGATCGATCACGACTCTCCATGTTTATGCACCTTTTATCTGCAATGAACATTAAACAATAATGACTAACAATAAAAGAAAACAAATTATTTATCAATATAAACATCAGAATACAATGGGCAGTGAATAGAAGCATTAGAATTTATAAAAATTGCTTAACTAAAAAGGAATGGTCCAGGAACAGAACTAATTCCACCTGTACAAGGGGTAGTTTTTCCTGTCAATATTTAATGGATTGTTTGATAACCCACACGAACCTAAATCTCCAACCCAATGACACTGAAAAGAAGTGCAATGAACTCCATTCGGCAAACAACTCAATCTCCTCATCTGTAACTTGCACTCGGTTGAAAAAGCACTAAGCCACTACTAAGAGCTCAGTGGTGGCATGGTCAGGAACAAAGTTATTAGAATGAAAAAACCCATTGGCATTACAAGGAGCTAAATATGCTGCAGAATATTGTCCAGAATGTTTAGAACAGAAGTAGAATATCTGAAGAACAGCTGCAAAATAGCAAAAAAAAAAGTAAATGATAATGCAAGTCCCCATTAGAAGGATAAATTTAAATTGACATGTTCAATTTTTAGTACTGGTACATTGGACTTGAAATATAATTTCAAGAAAAAATAATTAACTTAGAAATTATTTTCCAAAAGAGTATCACTGAACATTTTACTTTAATATACAACGAAAAAATACAATATGCGATACTAGCAGCTTTAATATTACAGGAAAAGAATTCATAAGTGAAGCAGAATTTTTTCATTTGATCTAAAGTAGTTATAGGCAGCATAAGCAATTTCAAAGAAAGAGTAACATCTTAACCATCAACTACAGAGCATATAGGTAAGCAGCTATACAATTAGCTATATTTTCTTATTGAAATCAGAAATTTCAACCAAAGCATTGGTCATCCTATAATGGGAAAAAATAAAAAGTCTTCACTTCATGAAGAAATAAAAGAACCCCAAGACATCATCAATGAATCCCACAAGCTACAGTAGTACTCAAGTACTAGGTATGCCACCAGAGCCAGTGTTTTGTACAGTCTGGATCAAACTTCCATTTTCAACTTAGGCTTCAGAATCTTGTGATACCTACCTAAGGTTCTCCCTCTACTATTTTCAGTTCAATTTTTACACAAATAATAATAAATAGATAAATTATAACTCAATTACCTGCATGCATGAGAAGTTTCTTCACCATTGCAAGATCCTTGTACAAAACAGCATAATGAAGAGCAGAGTAGCCCTGTTCATCGGGTGTGCAGAGGCTGCGAGTGATGTCATGCCCATGACTCAACAGGGAGGCTATGACTTTCTGCAACAAAAATTATGCATGTTGCCATAATAGGTAGCTGGTTTTTCATTCAATCTATGCATTGTTTATCCAATTTTACAAAGCTCAATGCATTTTTATGTTTAACATGGTCTCAAAACATGTAGCAGTTCCTGGTAAACTTGCACAGTATGCAAGACTGTAGCCATCTTGTAACGTAATGACTAAACTATCACTGTATATAATCTGAAGAAGTCATATTCAGGAAGGAATGGAAGAGGGAAAACACAAACATTTTTCATAACAAAAATGAAAATATTGGTCAAATATACCTCATAAAAGGTTGTCAATTCACCTCTAAGCTTCGTGAAGCCCAGTAGCCCCAAAGTCTATGAGTTATGGAAGAACAGGTTATTCAAACCATACCACACTGAATATTGATAATGCCCAGGCACTTCCTAGCAGCAAAAAAACAAGTTTAGTCACAACAATCAAGATAAACTGGATATTGAGGCTTCCTGCATAAACTTCATGACAGAAACAAGAATGGATGACCAATGCCAATAGGGAGAGATTTTAGATATTAGTTATACAGGCATATATATCAATAACTTTTGAAGAATTGGACTTAGAACTTAAACATTTGCATAACTTTGATACTCTACTATTATAAATGGCTGCTACATGCATGGAACTAATCAATAATTCAAAATTGCAAAAAATTGTCTCTTCCAAGAAGAAGTTAAAAACCAATAATGTTAAGAGCAAGATAACTCAGCTTAGAAGAAAAAATTTTTCATTAATTTTAATTCCTTCATGCCTTATCCTTGCTAACAGGATTGCAATAAACTCATGTTTTTTTTAAATTGCTCAAGCCACTTGGTATTTATTGAAAAGCCCATGACATTATTTTAAAACCCATGCAAAATGGATAAAATAGTTATTTATACTTTTTCACATATTATTTCATTTTTACCTAGCTTTAAAGTCCTTTTAACTCATGTTGATTATTAAAAATTTGATGCTGGAAAGTATCGACCTCTACTATCACATTTGCCATAACTTTTCATTAAATAATTGTCCCTCCATCAAACAGTAAGTTAGTGTTGCATCATTAACATGATGCAACACTATTTAAAACAGTGAAATATCTCTGTCAGAGACTACAAATCAATGGTAAAAATATGTATTGAATCAATTAACCCTGTAGGTATCTGCTACACTGGCTAACCAGAGCAAAGGTTAGTCACTTGGTCCTGGTTAACATGCTATGATAAGTTGAACAGACATGCCTAATTACTTTACTTCAACCTGCTTCTGTTAAGGCTGTGCAAAGGACAAATAAATTCCTCAATGTACTCACAGATAAATTTTTCTAATGATGATAACAAAGTAAAAATAAATATGTATAAAACTATTTATTTCAACTTGTCAGTTTTGAACATTTTTTGTTAATAACTTCTTACCATGAAACATTTCATTAACAAGTTTATTCTAATTTCAAAGGCTTTTGCGGGGGCTATCATATGGCATCTGTGAAAAATTTAATATGCTATTATTAAGGTGACAGACACAAAATAAAAGCCTCCCTAATTACCCCTGGGAATAGGGGTAGTTAGGAACACTTGAAATAAAACTTGATTTTAAAACGTTTGAAGTATGCAAAGTGTACATGTCTATTACTAACACTATTCTGAAGTCTTCCTCTTCCTTTGTAGATGATGTAGATGTAGAATAAATAACATTTTTTGTGATTTTTTATTTTTTTATATTTCCTTTATTGATACCATCAAACGGGGAAAAAAAGGGACGGGCGGGGTAAATCGGGACGCGCGCCCCCACATTTCATAGAAATGTTGTAGCAGCTAAACTAATCAAAATATTGCTAAACTAAAAATAGTGGCATAAACTTCAATATTTTCACTATCAATTATGTATAAAGTTAGCCAAGAAATCAAACATTTACTATCTCTAAAAAATCGCTGAAAAAAATTGTGAAAAGTGCGATTTTGGAAAAGTACCTCTGGTAAGGTCTGGAGCAAAAAAAAATATTTGCCGTATTAAAAAATTTTACTTGCATAAAAGTTGCACCCAGGTGTTGGCTTGAAAATGTAATTGATGGAATTTGCCTATCTCATTAAAAAAATGGCAGCCATTTCAGCACGTTGGGGCTACTCGGGGACCCCCCCCTTGAGTGACTGACTGCATGGTTCCCATTTAATTCAGACCAAAAAAACAATACTAAACATAAACTGAACGATAACCAAACAAACCTCAAACGACTTGAACCAAGACTTAAGTTATGAGAAAATCTAACACTGTTTGAAATAAACATGTGCACAATTCGAATATTTTATATCCATTCACTGCATTTAATTATTTTATTTATAGTCTTATAATCGTAATTGTTTTGTTTCTGGTATTAAATTCACTTATTTAAAGATTGAAATTAAATATTTTAATTAGCATACTCATATTAGGGTGGAAAATCTTTCTAATTGCCTAAAAGGTCAAACAATCTCAACCTCTCAATATACAGGGTGGGGCAGAACCGATTGAGCAGTTTTGAGGAAAAATAAAAGAGTAATGCAGGTACATATAGAAGAAAGTTCATTTTCCTAGAGGTTAGCATAACATACCATTTAGAATACTTAAGTTTTGAAAACAATATCTGGAAGATGGGGCAGTTAGCTGCAACACACTGTTGGAGTCGTTCTCAGAGGATGGAGTAACCGTAACAGTGAATTCCGATCGCTATGCTGCAATGTTGCAAAAATTTTTGCAGCCCATGATGAAAAACATTCTTGAAAATGAAGCATTGGGAGACGTGTGGTTCCAGCAAGATGGGGCTACAGCTCACGCATCCCGAATATCACTCAATGTTTTGAAATGCATGTTCCCAGACTCTGAGGGGGTGATTTACAGTGGCCTGCAAAGTCACCTAATTTGAGCATTTGCGATTTCTTTCTTTGGGGACATCTAGAAGAAAGGGTGTTCAGAAGTCGCCCTCACACCCTACCACAGCTAAGGGAACGGATTATTGCAGCAGAGGTTATGGTCATACCTCACTATATGTGTGAACATGCTGTAGAAAACTTCCAAGAACAACTCCAACAGTGTGATGCAGCTAACAAACCCCATCTTCCTGATGTTGTTTTCAAAACATAAGTATTTTAAATTGTATGTTATGCTAATCTTGAGGAAAATAAACTTTCTTCTTTATGTACCTCCATTACTCTTTTATTTCACCTCAAAACTGTTCAATCTGTTCTGCCCCACCCTGTATAAGCTAGCTAACACATTTAAATTGTATATTGTAATCAATATATAACAAAGAGTCAAATAGCTAAAGACTACTTATAGCCTTATAAGAATTAGCTAAGCTGCTAGCTACATACAATGTATTGCACACTTGATGCCTCTGTACCAAAAACATTCAATTTATTGAAACCTAATACACACTAAAGGCAACAAGTTTATATACCAATTTGTCATTCGTAGTACATTTATACTAAAACACGAACAACAATACCTCAATATAAATTAAAGACTGCCACACAATATATTCATATATATGAAAAAAAAAATTAAAAATAAAAAAAAAAAATAACATGATTTTTTATCAAAAAATCAAGTGATTTAATTACATAATTTAATCATTTTGATTTAATCATTGCCAACCCTGCTTTTGAGTGTTTACATTGTGACATTTGCATCACAGCATCAAGTCTTGTGTTATGGCTTTGCGTTCCCTCTTGCTATACTGTACCAAGTACGTGACCTGCTTCTTGCTGGAGCTTTATACCTGCTTGCTAAATTTAATCTCAATCTTAACTTTATTCACTTGAAGTATGAGTCCTCTTTATTTACCATAAAAGGCAATAGACTCAAGTTTTGTACCTGTTAATTCAATAGGAGCAGTCGGTGTGGGACCCAGCTGTCAAGCTGTTGTGGAGACCTGGAGTCCCCAACTGCTGGCTCTTGACTTCCTCTCCTGAGTACTGTCACTTCACAAATCTGAACTCCTTGAACAGTGTGCAGTGCTCATGCTCATATATTGTACCAAATTGGATGTTACCCAAATTGACTACAGAACTGAACCATCTTACCAGACCAACTCATTAGCCATTTCTAGGCTCTTTTCATGGTCTTCTAGTTAGGGTAGATAATTGCATAGTATTAGGAGCCTATGCCTCTTGTTAACTGCATTGATTAGAACCGTGACCTAATTTTGTACCTGAAATAACATGACTTCACTAGTCCAGAGCCTTACTTGACTAGATAATGTCCATGTGATTAGAATAGTTTAGTTACATTAATGTTAGGTGGTATTAGTTGCTAGGCTGTTCCAGGTTGTGCCAGCTGTTTATTCACGCCTCATTGAACCTTGCCATTCATGACATTCTAGATTAAACCATACCTGGATGGTTTCTGACTAGGAGTAGTATAAGTGTTATTTTGTTTGCTTGCATTCAAACCAAAACTATGTTCAAATACTTGCTAGCCAAGTAGTCTTCCACCATTATGACTCAAGCATTGTAGACTGAAAGATCCTATGCCCAGGTAGGATAGAAGCCAAGCGTTTGTAAATGTTTAGGTACCTTAATTCTTGTACCCTGTGCCATTCCCAGAATCTTTGTTCTTGTTCACTACGAGGTATATTGAGTATCCTGCTATTTCCCAGTACTCAAGGTTTCTGGTTCTCTGGGCGGTGCACCTCCTGGAACCTCTTGCTGTCAGTAACATCTCGGTATCCCTGCTACTAGATCAGTGAGTACTCAGAGGTGTGTGCCTGTGTATGACTGCAAATTAGGCCAGAAGTGATCTAACTAACTTGTCTTCTGGCTATGCTCCAGGAATGATCCTGGGACCTGGTAAAGTATCCTGCAGGTGTACCGCTCTATTCTCCGGAGTTCAAACCAATACTCGCTGTTATGTTTAACCAGATTTTTCCCTTTGCCTGTGTCTACCAAACCTATGCTATGTGGCTTACCTGACTATGGTTATTGATCCGTGTGTGTTGTAAGCTAGGATGTGCTTTT